ATGTTTACGCTAGCCCCCTTCACCTTAAGTATGTTTATGAAGTAGAGAATTTCACTGGTAGATGTCGCTGTGATCTAAGCGGGAACAGCTACTCGTTACTCGAGTTCCTTTTTCTCGAGTCCTGTTACCCGCCTCGGATGTTAGGTTTCGCCTTCTGCGATCGCCCAACACTCTGCCACTTTGGAAGAGAACTCCGAGCAATCCACACGTAAGGTCCTCTACTATTAATCATTTTATATACCATTTTATTACAGCATTTTTTATATACACATATATACATATAATAAAGTGGCCGTTAGGCGCTTATATATATATATATACATATATACGAGTAAAAGGTGAAGTGTTTTTATTTAATTTTATTGAGCGAATTTAAGCGTGTTAAATTCAACCCTCGAAGGACTTCAGGGATTCGGCACCTCCTCGACCCTCGTTTGCCGCGGAATTCAAGAGGAATTCCCGGCCCCCAAATCACCCCGTCCCGAACAATGGATGTATGTTGGATCTTATGCACATATGTCATTTGATAATTTCACAAACTCTATACCGTTGCCCATGGAAACCATCAAAATCAAGTGGAACAACTAAAAGAAAATATTAGTTTTGCAAGTGCAGTGGAAGATTTGGAGAAAAAATAAATAATCTGGAAGAATAAATACATAGATTGCAAAGCTATGAAGTTTATACCCTTGCACACAAAGAACACTGCAATTATTTATAAAAATGCATTATGTTCATCCGCCAGTATTATAGTACTTATCTTCATCATATTGTCGGTGATGATTCCCATGTTGTTGGTATCGTTGCTTAGTCCGTATTCTGGCATTTCGGAGTCAAGGGTTCTCTTCGAGCAGCCACGTTTGCAATTCAAATTCCAAAGCATTTTCACTGCGGAAACGGACGAAAAATATGAAGCCGCTAATGGCCATGAATCAAAGCGTAGTACAAACGATTTGGTAGTATGCAGTACATTTCCTCAACTTAATAGCATTATGCAAGAACATAGTGGCAGTTGTGAAGGAATTAAGGTTAGTAATAACATGGAATAGTTCCAAATAGAATCGAACTTAATTGTATTTTTGTAGTACTGGACTGACGATTTTGATCACGATGGCACAATTGATCGCGTACATTTCCAACAACAACTTGATTTTCTACCGGGACGAATTAAAAGTTTTGATCTAGCTCTATTTTTTGAAGCACAATTGAAGGTATGATAAAGATACATATCGAAATACTTTATTTTTTTTAGCTTTTTTTCAAATCGCTTTAGCATAAGTGTCCACTTTC